AAATGTGCAATGTTTTGCTGGATCCATGAACAGATTCTTTCAAGGTTAGCTATGATTTGGACTAAAGTTATGTTTTTGACATGTCATTGTTTCCTGGGTAATCGTTATATGTAGATAAATCATAATAATATTAATAATAGGGTTTCCGATCGAGTTGTTTTATATAATTTTTTTCTTAGAGGACGACCGAGCACGAAGTTCTTAACTTTTTCTTTTAATTTGATTTGTCTTTATTTTAATGATGTTTGACTTCCATATGTTTCAAAGAGATTCCGTTGATTCCGTTGATTCCGTTGATTCCATTGATTCCGTGAATTCGATATGCCGAATAGTACTATTTTAGATCAATGACGCAATAGAAATTCCTGGCCCGCCCCCATTCAAGCTTACGGCATGAAATACGTTTTTGTCATAAAAATATTCGACTAAAAATAAATATGTTTTGCTAATCAAACCAAATATCATTTTTCTTGCTAATAAAATAATATAAACTCGTGCGAGTACTATTTTACATCAATGACGCACCGTATCCCGATCTTACAGATCTCAACGTGCATTTTCACCTCGTGTTTCACCATGTCAATCATGACGAGGTCCACCAAAGGCATTCGTAACACTAAATTCCGATCATACCTAACTAATGTACTGTGCCCATAGGCCCAGCACAATAACTAAGGTGTAGTAAATTGTAATACACCAGAAAACACAAAAGAAAATCAAAAGAAAATGCGGACAATAAAGTGTATAAGTGTAATACGCTAAAGAGTATTTTACGGGTTTCTGAAAACCACTCTATTATTAATATTATTATTAATATTATTATCAATATTAGTATTATTATTATTACATTATTATTATATATTATTATTAGGTAGAAGGCCACAAGACACACATATGGTCTGTACCTCGTTGGTTGTGTAGCACGGTGAGACACGTTTGATATTTAATTTCAATTACACTTGAAAAGTGTAGACGCTAGATAACTTTCTGATTTTTGGTATTCATTTCGATTGAAAAATTAAGAAATCTATTGTGTGGTTGTCATATTTAAAATATCAATTTGGCATTGAAACTGCATTTTCAGTTTATATTGATGGGTTGCAAGCATTCCCCGGATAGTTAAAAGACAAAAGCATGGCGGCTATTGTGGTGCCGTTAACAATAGATGCTAATAAGGAATCTTTTGTTAAATGGCACCAACGCTCCCCCGAGAGGCCGCTATGAAGTAACGTGCAATCGAAGAATATTCATTATATAGATATTATTCGTATTTTTTCAAATTTTTCTTGTCATTTAAGTACTTGGTATTCATAGTGACTTGCGCTTGAAGGCCCCCTCTGATTGGTCAACTGTGGGTGTATTACAGAAAAGTAACGCCCCTCGTGTACCTCTGACTGTAGAAAGAGGAGGAGTCGCTTGGACATTCATCGCATTGGACGTGTGTTTCCTAGTCTAAACTCGATCCCTTAACCGAGCACTAAAGATGAGGGTTCTTCTTCCAATCCTAGTGACCATACTTCTACAGAACCACAAAGGTAAGCTCATATAGACCCCCAAGTTACGCTTGTTTTATACGATAACCTTTTCCCCCAATGTTTGAAGCAAACCTTTAGCTTAAAACTATAAAAAGACTTTGAAAACGCATTTCTGTGCTCGAAAATCATATCTGCGCCAAAATTGATACCTGCGACTAAATTGTGGAATACGAGGAATACTATTCCTGCTAAAATTGGACTTAAAGACACTTTTAGGACTTATTTAAATCAAATTTGTCTTAAAAACTTTCTATTCTCCTCCTCACCAGAGGGCACGCTACTCGAATGCTTAAAGATGCTACGAAACCATTCCATAATTAGACACCGACATCGAAACCTGATTGATAAATAAAAAATAGAATAAAATGATAAT